GGAGTCTCGCTCTGTCACCCAGCCTGGAGTCCAGTGGCGCGATCTTGGTTCACTGCAAGCTCCGCCTCCCGGGTTTACGCCATTCTCCTGCCTCAGCCTTCCTTCTGCTCACTGCTCGGGCCTCGTGATCCGGCCGTCTCGGCCTCCCAAAGTGCTGGGATTACAGGCTTGAGCCACCGCGCCTGGCCAACTCTAGAACTTCTGTATCACCCCATAGGGAAACTACCCATTAGACAGTAACTCCCCATTCTCCCCAACTGCAGCCCTTGGCAGCCCCCATCCCACTTTCTCTATGAATTTGCCTATTGTAGGGACCTCACAGAAGTGGAATCAGTTTGTCCTCCTGCGTCTGGTGTATTTCACTCAGCATAATGTCCTCAAGGTCCATCTGTGTTGCAGCATGTGTCAGAATTTCACTCTTTTTAAAGGCTGAGTCGTACCCCTGGTGTGGATACACCACATTTTCTTCATCCATTCATCTGTGGCCGGACACTTGGGTGGTTTCCACCCTTTGGATGTTGTGAATGTGGGTGTGCAAGTGTCTGTCTTGAGTCCCTGCTTTCAGTTCTGGGCATAACCTAGGGCTAGAATTGCCGGATCATGTGGTAGTCTGACTCTATTGCCCAGGTTGGAGTGCAGTAGTGCGATCTTGACTCACTGAAACCTCTGCGTCTCGGATTCAAGCAATTCTCCTGCCTCAGCCTCTCGAGTAGCTGGCACCCACCTCCACACCCGGCCAATTTTTTTGTATTTTTTAGTAGATGTGGGGTTTCACTGTGTTGCCCAGGCTGGTTTTGAACTCCTGAGCTCAGGCAGTGTGCCCGCCTCGGCCTCCCAAAGTGATAGGGTTATAGGCAGGAGCCACCACACCCAGCCTCGTATGGTAACTTCTGTGTTTAACTTTTTGAGGAATCACTAAACTGTTTCTACTGCAGCTGTAACATTTTACATTCACACTAGCAACACACAAGGGTTCCAGTTTCTTCACCTCCTTACCAGCACTCCTTTTCATTTTTTTGATAAAAGCCACCCTAATGGGTGTGAAGTGGTACCTTAGTTTGCATTTCTGTAATTTAGTGATGTGGAGCACCTTTTCATGTGCTGCCTGACCATTCGTGTATCTTCTATTGGAGAATGGCTGAGTCCTTTGCACATTTTTAAAATTTTTTTAAAACTTGTGGTAAATTGACCGGGTGCAGTGGCTCACACCTGTAGTCCCAGCACTTTGGGAGGCTGAGGCAGGTGGATCACAATGTCAGGAGATGGAGACCATGCTGGCTAACATAGTGAAACCCCGTCCCTACTAAAAAATACAAAAAAATTAGCCAGGCGTAGTGGCAGGCGCCTGTAGTCCCAGCTACTCGGGAGGCTGAGGCAGGAGAATGGCGTCAACCTGGGAGGTGGAGCTTGCAGTGAGTCGAGATCACGCCACTGTACTCCAGACTGGGCAACAGAGCGAGACTCCGTCTGAAAAAAAAAAAAAATTGTGGTAAATAATGCTTGTAATCCCAGCACCTTGGGAGGCCAAGGCAGGTGGATCATGAGGTCAGGAGTTCGAGACCAGCCTGATCAACATGGTGAAACCCCATCTATACTAAAAATACAAAAATATTAGCTGGACGTGGTGGCACGTGCCTGTAATCTCAGGAGGCTGAGGCAGGAGAATGCTTGAAACCAGGAGGTGGAGGTTATAGTGGGCCAAGATTGCCCCACTGCATTATAGCCTGGGCAACGGTGAGACTCAGTCTCCAAAAAAAAAAAAAAAGTGGTAAAATACACCTAAAATTTACTTTTTTTGTTGTTGTTTTTTGGTAAAGACGGGGTCTTGCATTGTTGCCTAGGCTGAGCTCAAACTTCTGGCTTGAAGCCAATCCTCCTGTCCTGGCCTCCCAAAGTGCTGGCATGACAGGTGTGACATTTTACTGTTGTGAATGATGCTCTTCTCAACACCTGTGTACAAACATCTGCGACTCTGCTTCCAGTTCTTTTGGGTATATGCCCTACAGTGGAATTGCTAGATCATATGGTAATTCTTTTTTTTTGGAGATGGAGTTTTGCTTTTGTTGCTCAGGCTGGAGTGCAGTGGCACGATCTCGGCCCACTGCAACCTCTGCCTTCCGGTTTCAAGCGATTCTCCTGTGTCAGCCTCCTGAGTAGCTGGGATTACAGGCGCCTGCCACTACACTTGGCTAGTTTTTGTATTTTTAGTAGAGATGGGGTGTCACCATGTTGGCCAGGCTGGTGTCGAACCCCCGACCTTGTGATCTGCCCACCTCAGCCTCCCAAAGTGCTGGGATTACAGGCGTGAGCCACCACACCTGGCCAGTAATTCTATTTTTAAATGTTGGAGGAACCTCCATACTATTTTGCATAGCAGCTGCACCATTTTGCATTTCTATCACAGGGTACAAGGGCTCCAGTTTCTCTGTATCCTCACCGGCACTTACTTTTTTTTTTTTTTTTTTTTTTTTTGGAGACAAGAGTCTTGCTCTGTCACCCAGGCTGGAGTGCAGTGGCCAGATCTCCGCTCACTGTAAGCTCCGCCTCCCAGGTTCACGCCATTCTCCTGCCTCAGCCTCCCGAGTAGCTGGGACTACAGGCGCCCGCCACCTCGCCCGGCTAGTTTTTTGTGTTTTTTAGTAGAGACAGGGTTTCACTGTGTTAGCCAGGATGGTCTCGATCTCCTGACCTCGTGATCCGCCCGTCTTGGCCTCCCAAAGTGCTGGGATTACAGGCTTGAGCCACCGCGCCCGGCCGGCACTTTCTTTAAAAATTTAATTTTACAGTAGCCACTCCAGTGGGTTTGAGATGTATCTCACTGTGTGGTCTCCCTCATGACTAGTGATATTGAGCTCTTTTCATGTGCTGCTGGCCATTTGTATATAATTGGAGAAATGTCTGTTCAAGTCCTTTACCCATTCTTGAGTCAAGTTTGGTTTTTTGGTTGTTGAGTTTTAGAAGTTCTCTGTGTATTCTGGATATCACTTCTTTATCAAATACATGATTTGCAAATATTAAGAGTTTTATAGTTTTAGCTCTTACATTTAAGTCTTTGATCCATTTTATTTTTGTAAATTGTGTGAGGTTAGGGTCCACCTTCATTCTTTCGCATGTAGATATACAGGCTTGGTTTCTGATATCCACTTACTGTCTTGATTGGCAGAAATTTCAGCAGATTTCAAGGAGCCGCCGTCCCTGCCAGGGAAGGAGAAGCCATCCCCGAAGACAGCCTGTGGGTCCCCCCTGGCAGCACAGCCATCACCCTCTGCTGAGCTCCCCCAGGCTGCCCCACCTCCGCCGGGCTCACCCTCCCTCCCTGGGCGCCTGGAGGACTTCCTGGAGAGCAGCACGGGGCTGCCCCTGCTGACCAGTGGGCATGAGGGGCCAGAGCCCCTTTCCCTCATTGATGACCTCCATAGCCAGATGCTGAGCAGCACTGCCATCCTGGACCACCCCCCGTCACCCATGGACACCTCGGAATTGCACTTTGCTCCTGAGCCCAGCAGCACCATGGGCCTGGACCTGGCTGATGGCCACCTGGACAGCATGGACTGGCTGGAGCTGTCGTCAGGTGGTCCTGTGCTGAGCCTGGCCCCCCTCAGCACCACAGCCCCCAGCCTCTTCTCCACAGACTTCCTTGATGGCCATGATTTGCAGCTGCACTGGGATTCCTGCTTGTAGCTCTCTGGCTTGAGACTGGGGTGGGGACGGGGCTGGGAGCCAGGGCACTCCGGTGCGTGGCGCTCCTGCGTGATTTGGCCTCTCCACATGGTTGTGAGTCTTGACAATCACAGCCCCTACTTTTTCCCTTCCCTGGGAGGCCAGAACAGAGAAGCCCCTACTCCTGGTTCGGGCCCACCCAGGGCAGAGGAGAGCAGCTGTCAAGAAGCAGCCCTGGCTCTCACGCTGGGGTTTTGGATACCCAGTCAGGGCCAGGGCCATTTCAGCTTGACCTTTTTTGAGGTCAGGGGCACTGTCTGGCTACAATTTGGCTAAGGTAGGTGAAGCCCAGCCAAAGCCCAGCCAGGAGGCTTCTCTTCTGACCCAGGGCTGAGACATGTCAGGGGGTGAATCTCCTTTTTGTTCCCTGCTTTGCTGTGAAGGGATAAATTAGCCTGGGCCTCTACCCCCTAGTCCCCATGTCTGCCAACCCCAGGGCTTCCTGGGATGGGGCTCCCTGCCATTTTAGTGTCTTGGTGTAGTGTAACCATTTAGTGGTTGGTGGCAACAATTTTCTGTACAGGTGTATATACCTCTATATTATATATCGACATACATATAGACATATATTTTTGGGGGGGGGACAGGAGATGGGTGCAACTCCCTCCCATCCTACTCTCACAGAAGGGCCTGGAAGGCCATGGCTCCTAGGGACTGGATGCAAGGTTACCCTTGAGCTATGTGCCACCATCTGGTGCCCAGTCTGGCATGCAGCTACCCAGGCCCACCCATCACGTGTGATTGACATGTAGACACCCTGCCACGGCCTGTGCCCCACCTGCCCTGCTTCCTGGTTCCTTATCAGTGCCACGAGGGCAGAGGTGCTACCTGGCCTTCCTGCCAGGAGCTCTCCACCCACTCACATTCCGTCCCCACCGCCTCACTGCAGCCAGCGTGACCCTAGGACAGGAGGGAATTGGGCCCAGCTTCACCCTGCTGTGGGGCTGAGAGATGGCCATGAGGTTGTGGCTGTCTCCTGCCCTGGGGCCACTGGCTTCACACTCTGGCCTGACTCATAGGGGAGTAGGGGTGGAGTCACCAAAACCAGTGCTGGGACAAAGATGGGGAAGGTGTGTGAACTTTTTAAAATAAAAACAAAAACACAGGCCTGTTAGTGCATCTTAATCCACGGAAGGGGTGGGTGGCATAGGTCGGGGTCCTGGGCCTGTTGTGTCCCAGCATCTGAGGGGCCAGGGAGTGCCTTCTAGACTACTCAAGGAAGGGCAGAGCCTTGGACATGAAGACAGCTCTGCAGCCCTGGCTGTACAGAAGACAGGAGGTACGTTCTCAAAGACAGTTTATTTATAAACCAAGGAGGACAGGAGCCTATTAGTCACCCCCATCCCCTTCCCTCTTCCTGAGCAAAGACTGGCACAGACGTGGCTCCCCACCGCCTCACAAGGCTTTTGGTACAAACTGGTTTGGCCCAGAGCATCTCTAAGGACCCTGGTAGGGCAGGGCACCCTCTGCTGCCACCACCTGGGATGTGCTGGGGAACCTGGAGTGGGGCAGCCTGATATCCCGGGGCCCCGGCCAGGGCTCTGGAGCTGCTCTTCCCTGGGCTCTGCAGCTTGGGGTCCTGGGCCACCTGAGACCCAGGCCCAAGGCTGGGCTGGGGAGGAGGGGTCACCCATCCACATCCCAGCTGAAGAGATGATGCTTCACCAGCATGTCCCGGACGCCCTCCTTCAGGGGCTGCTGCGCCTGCAAACAGGGCAGCCCCTCACCTCACAGGCCTTGGGCGTGGCTGGGGTGGTTCCTAACCACTGACACCAGCACTCTGTGTCCCCACCTCAGCCACCCTGTGAACGGTTTGGGCAGCTCCATCAGCACAGGCCTTACAAGGCCCACACCACCCACCTCTCTCTTCGCAGGGAGTTCCCAGTCCTGGGAGAGGCTGAAGGCAAAGCAGCAGAGGACTCTAGAGGTGAGGAGGGGGTTGGTGAGGCTCTTGTCACCCCCAGCCAGCCCTTCCTGACCCACCTCCATTCCCCAAACCCAGCAAGGTCCTCACCGGAGCTCACACTTGATCTGGACCCAGCCCGGGCTGCGCAGGAAGGACCAGGGCTGGTACCACTTCTCCACGGTGGGCAGGCTGGAGCAGAGCACCTCCAGCCACAGGTGCAGCACCTGCTCACTGGGGACATGGCCAGGAGTGGGGAGCAGGGGCGGCTCCAGGCCCTTCTGGCTGCAGCCATGGTAGAGGCCTCCAGCCTGTCCCTCAGCAGCTCCCAGACCACCCTCTTCAGGGAAGGACCTGAGCCCCTGAGGTTCTTTGTCCTTTAGGGTCCCCTGTAAGGACCCTCCCGATGCTGGGCTGGGTCCCCCTACTCCAGCGTTCTCCTCCAACCCCTTTTCCACACTCACTTGAGCCCCACGCAGATCAGTGAGCGGAGCTTCACGTCCATTTGTGCGTGCACTGCATCATGGCTCACGTTCACAGACTGCACAGCCTGGGGACGGCACCATCCGCTGTCACTCAGGCTCTCCCATGGGCTAACCTCGAGAGGTCTATAGGGTCTGGCAGGGGAGGCCCCTTACCCGGTAGAGCAGCTCCTCCGGGGTCAGGACCTTGCCATCTTCGTCCAACCTGAGGGGGCACCAAAGCTCCTGGGGTGCCGGGGCTGGGTCAAACCCCGCCCTCCCACTGCAGGCGGCTCCACCAGAGGAACCCAGGCCCAGTTACCTGAAGGTCTTACAGAGCACCAGGCGGGAATACACGGAGGCAAAATCTCTCTCGACCTCCCGGCCTGCAGCCTGTGGGAACAGCACACGGTGTGAGTGTAGGGACAGGAAGATGCTGGTTCAAAGCCCTTGGGGCCAACTGGGCACCTGTTACTGCCCTGCCAGCTCTTCCCATCCTCTCCGTGGGGCCCAGGGACAGGAAGGGCCTAAGATGGGTACCGGGGGGCACAGCAGGGCTGGTGCAGGGTGGGAGACATGGGCCAGCCACTGACTTACCTCCTCTATAAACAGCCAGGGGTGGCAGGCGCCCCCAAGCAGGGATGGCTTCTTCAGTCCATGTTCGAACAGGGCCTTAAGGGCCGGGCAGAGGGTCCCTCGCACGAGGTCTGTGACCCCCTCCGTCACTGAGTCGTCCCCCGCGATGGAATACTGATGGGAGGGATGGGTCTGAGAAAGCCCTGCCTGACACCTGCAGCCAGTTGCCCTCCTCTGTCCTCTCTGCCATGCTACAGGCCAGGACTCACTGGGGACACAGGCCCTGGCTAGGAGGATGCCAGCCGTGCCTAGCCCGCCCACCCCCTCACCTCTTTGCTGCGCTCATCCAGGACTTCCACAAACTTGGCTGGAAACCAGCCTGTGGGAAAAATAGGCCCTGTGAGGAGCAGCCACAGCTCAGGCAGGCAGGGCAGGGGGAAGCTGGCCCAGGTGCTTCAGGGACCTCAAGCCAGGCAGGGGTAGAGAGAACGGCCTGGCAGCGGCCAGGGTCACTGAAGTCTTCTGTGCTCACCCCCTCCTCCCTCTCCCAGCTCAAGAGCAGACCAAGGCCCCCACCTCGAAGGCCGTTGAGCTCCCCCACCCAGCAGTGCTCGTCCTTCTGAGACACGATCTGCACAGGAGGAAAAACAGTAGGAACCAAAGCTGGGTGCCTGGGGCCAGCGCCACCTGCACCCCCGATACGACTCCTCAGCAGCTAGGCCAGGCCAAGACCCCTACATCTTCACAAGAGCAGCTCTTGGCAGGGAAAGGGGTTGGAGTGGGGCTTGGTGGAGGGAGGCTGGGGGACCCGCCCCAGCCTGAGGACCTGTAGTCCAGCGCCCCCACGTACTGTGATGATGTCGTTCTTGCGGAAGCCCAGCTCGTCGTCGTCGTGCCGCTCGAAGTCCAGCAGGGCCTTGGCTCGGCGCCGGTGGCCGCGTGAACATGCCACGTAGTTCTCGTGGTCCCGCTGGTGGCTCTCCATGCTGTAGTCTGGAGTCAGCTCCTGCCACAGTGAACACAGGCCCACCAAGGGGGTTGGAGGAGTTAGGGCCATGTTTGGTACCAGCCCGGGGAGCTGGCCACTCACCACGCTGCAGTTTTTGGGGTCTGCGCACTGGAAGTGACGCGCCACGCGCAGGATGGCTTCCCGGAGGTCAGCCACCAGTTCCGTCTGCTTGATGTTCTTGGCCTTGAGTGCCTCCAGGTCATCCTCCCCTAGGAGGCCCAGAGAGCAATGGTGACCACGGCTCACTCCAGGCCCCCGAGGAAGCTCCACATCCACGTGAGCGTGAGGACAGACTGTTCCATGCCCACACTGCCTGGCACCCGCAGAGCTCTCACCGAAGAGCAGAGCAGTGATGGTGGACTTCCTCCGCTGGGTCCTGCGGCGAACAACCTGCACCATGAGGAGGGGGTCAGGGCGGTCCTGGCCCCCGGAAGAGAACCCACCAGCCCTTGGCTTATGCTCTCTCATCTAAAATGGCCTCTGATGCCGGCTCTGAGAGTTGAAAACAGATAATCAGTTCAGAGCTGGGTCTGCCTTCCTCCCAACCTGTGCCAGGGTCAGAACCTGAGACGCATGAAGCCCGAGGTGGCCTGGGTCACCCCACAGCTGTGGTCTGACTGGGCCAGGCTGGGGTGCAGAGCAGGAAGGGCTGGTTTGTTTCCCATAGCCTCCGCACCTGCTCTGAATTTTAAGGTGACCCGTTCCCCACATGCTGTGGGCCAAGTCAGGGCCCCCCATCCTGGGTCACCTGAGAGAGGTTGGTGAGGGTGCCGGTCCCCAGGAGCTGACCCTGGTCTGCAATGAGATAGGCCAGGTGCTTGCGGCGCTGAGTCTCCACAGCCACGTCGGTGAGGGAGCCGGCCAGCCGCATGGCCACCCCCAGAAGCAGCTCCGCGTCCTCCATCTGCGACGGGATATCCGATAGCGTGTTGAAGATGGAGGCTGAGTTCTCTGACTGGATCAGCTCTTCTTCCTGGGCCATGTCAGAGCAGGATGCAGGGAGAAGGTTGTTACTGCAGGAACCTGGCACTGAGCTGACCCCAACCCCCATCCTCAGGGACCCGTTTGCCTTGGCACGGTTGTCAGGGGCCGGGGGACTGGTCTTGCCTGGCCCAGGGAGGTCTCTCACTCCCTGCCCCCCATCTCGGGCTCCTACTCCTCAGCCTGAAGTGGGGCCCTGGAGCACCTTGAGGTGCAGCATGCCCAGCGTGAGCTGGAACAGCACCCGGGAGCCCTCATAGAAAAACAGGTCCCAGATGCGCAGAAGCAGCTTGATGTCCACCACGCTGGCGAAGGCCGTGAGGAACCAGTGCAGTGTGATCAGGGACAGCTCTGTAAACACAGGAGCCGAAGCTGCTGGGGAGGAGGTGGAGGAAACCTCCATCCCCAGAACTGGAGGGAGGTCCTCCCTGCCCAAGAGCGAAGGAGGGGATGGGGCAGGGAACACCGGAGAACAAAAGAGCGACAAAGACCAGAGTTGGGGGCTATGCCCCATCCCCCCTTGGCCATCCGCCTGAGGCCTCCAAGCTGCAGAATGGGAGCCACTGGCTCAGAGGCCCCTTACCGATGTCATGCTCCTGGAGCAGCTTGTCCAGGCGAGGCAGGTACTGGACAATGAGGTGGCGCAGGACCCGCTGGTCAGTCTGGACGCCCAGCAGGGTGGTGCTGAAGTAGGAGGCGGGGAGCAGGTCCTCGATGATGGCGCACATCATCCAGAAGGTGTCCTCCTCCTCCAGGAACAGCAGGAGGCAGGCAGCCACCTGGCCAGGGCATGGGGATAAGGGCCCTCTACCCAGGTCTTTGTGCAAATTAGAAAAGGTGCCCCTACCCTAGGGAGACCATTTAGCAAAAGCCTCTTGGGGGGCACGCATGCTGGAACACAGGCCTTCCCCGGCTGCTTTCCTTGGCCGGCCTCAGTTTCACACCCTTTGGGGGGCCCCTCTGCTTGAATAACGTGCAGCTGCCCTGATCTCCTTGGGGACTCCCCTGTCCCCCCACCTCCCCTCCTGCTGCCCCAGAGCGGGAGACCATTCCTTGTTAGGGGTCCTGGAGGAGGCCCTGGGGCTGTCACTGCCCTTGCCGGGGCTGTGCTCACCATACCAGTGCCCTGGCAGTAGCCGATCTCTGGGTAGAGCCAGGCCAGGGCCCGGAGCACCCTGCGCAGGCGGGGCACCCCGATGCTGCCCATGCTGGCGAAGCAGGCGTTGCTGGGCATGGTGCGCAGCAGGTCCTTCTCAATCTGTCCGGCAGCCATTGGCACCCACAACAACAAGACCTTGTGACACCCTGGGAGGGAGGCAGACCCCAGGCGGGCTTCTCCCCCAGGAATGGGGATTCCTTGTGTTCCTGGTCAAGGTCACCCTCCTCCCTTCAGGGTCAGCTCCCAGCCAGTGTGGAGCTGGGACATCAAATCCACCTGGGAAGCTTCATGCCAGACAGAGTGAATGAGAACGTGTGGCCCAAGGCCTGGAGTCTATATTTAGAGTCTCCATCTGTTCCTAAAGTGGACCCGGGCTTGGGAACCCCATCTCCAAACACCAGTGGCCTTTTGGACAATTCTTTCTGTGGCCTACAGAGGACCCAGGAAGGAGCATGTATCCTCTCCCCCACCCCCCAACAAGGGCACACTCCCAGAGCCCCAGGCAGCCTCCCTCTCTCCTGCCAGCCTCACCTGCTTGGCAGCAAGGGTCTCATCATTGGAGCTGTTCTTCACAATCTCACGGTAGGACAGCTCGGAGTTCCTCTTCTTCTGCAGGGCCCCAGAGAGCCGCATCCATAGCTGAGGGAAAGGAGTCGCAAGGGCACTCAATCTTTCTCATGACACCTAATCATGGGGCCAAGACCCTCTCAAAACCCTGTGGCCACTTTACCTGTGGCCTCATGCCATGTGGGATGCCGGCCAGCACCAGGGAACGGAGCTTCTCAGAGCGGGGCAGACAGACTGCAATCTTGTCCCAGGTGAGATCCCCCACATCGTGGTTATGGGTGAACTCCAGGTGGGCCTGCCACCGCAGCCTCTGTGGAGCATCCTCCAGCAGCGGGGAGCTCGCCAGCAGACTAGAGCCAGGCTCACCACCTTCTGCCAAGAGACAGCCGAGGGACGCCGCAGTGAGCAGAGGAGGAAGAAAAAAGCATTCTCTACTACGTGTTCTGCAAGCAGCCAGGCCTCTGTCTTCAGGAGGGTCTCAGCTTCATGCCTCTAGGCCAGCTCTCTCCCGCCAGATCCAGATTCCCACAGCTAATGGCTTTCTGACAGCTCCAGGTGATCATCTAACCTGCACCTATGATGAGCAAAGCTCTTCACTGTCTCCTCAAAGCCACTCCTACCACAGTACTACCCAGATCCAGAAATGACACCTCCATTCTCCCGATGCTCAGCCTAAACCTTGGAGTCACCTCTGGCTCCTCCCTTGCCCAGACTCCACACTCAGTCCTTTAGCAAACCCACGGCCCTTGTCCAAGCCAGCGTCCTTCATCCAGATTGCTGCACTGGCCCTCCCACTGACCTCCCTGTTGCTACCCTCACCTCCCAAAGGCCGTTCTCCTCAGCAGCCACAGCAACCCTTCCAAAATGCAAGTCAGATCATGTCACACTGCTCAGAGCTGAGACTCAAAGGCAAGGGCTTTCCAGGGCTCCCTCAGCTGCTTCCTCTGGGCCATGCCCACTCTGTCCTCATCCCCTACCATTTTCCTCTTGCTCCCTCCCCTCCAATGACATGGTCTGAAAGGGCCACTTCAGGGCCTTTGCACCTCTCCTTCCCCAGCTCTGCCCATTCCCTGGCTTCCTTATATATGATTTACTGCCCCTCTTCCCTGAAGTATTTTCCCAGCCCTTCTTGCTCCAGCATATTACATGCTTGTTTACGGCCTGTCTCCCTCTCTAAAATGAGAACTCCATGCAGTCGAGACCACCTTCAGTTTTGTTTAAGGGCCTAGGGGTGCAGCTGTGGAGACTACAGCACCCACAGTTGGGTTCATGAGATATTTGTTGAATGAATGAGGTGAAGCTCTCCTGTGGCAGCCCAGCAATCTCTGGGTGAGCTCCATAGACAGCCTCGTCCTTATTCACCCAAAAGCCAATCCCTCAGCCCAGCTTTCAAAAACACCAACTTTAATGACTTTACCTACAGTAAAATGCACAAATGGTAGGTGTACATTTTGGTGTATAAACAAATGTCTAAGCAGTCTCAGTTCCATGGCGTAACAGTGAACACTCTGACCCCAGTGACCCAGCCAAACAGATACTCCATCATACCAGCAAGTTCCCTGTGTCCCTCTCAAACCAAACCTTTACCCTGCAACTACCTGCCTACAAATCAGAAGAACAAGGAAAACCCTTGTCAGAATTGGAAACGTGAGTGACCTGAAGGTGATCAGTTGCAGTCAATTAAAATGTCCTAGCCACAGGTCTGGCCTGGCATCCAGTTGTCTTGGCAGATGACCTTCCCAATAGCCCACTCAGGACCAAAAGGCCCATTTATAGTAGAAAACAACAGAAAAGGATTGAGACTCAGTTATAGAAAAGTGGTTATCCAAATACTGTAAGTTCATTATGATATTATACAGCCACTGAAAATACTCTTTTTTCTTTTCTGAGACTAAGTTTCGCTCTTGTTGCCCAGGCTGGAGCGCAATGGCATGATCCCTGCTCACTGCAACCTCCGCCTCCTGGGTTCAAGCGATTCTCCTGCCTCAGCCTCCCGAGTAGCTGGGATTACAGGTGTGTACCATCACACCTGGCAAATTTTGTATTTTTAGTAGAGACCGGGTTTCACCATGTTAGCCAGGCTGGTCTTGAACTCCTGGCCTCAAGTGATCCACCCACCTCAGCCTCCCAAAGTGCTGGGATTACAGGCGTGAGCCACCACGTCCAGCCTGAATTTTTCAACTTCTCTACAGTGAACACTATTGCTTTTACTATCAGGTGAGGTTCAGTAAAATTTATCTCAAAAAAAACAGAGGTTTCCCATACATATAACAGTATCACCCTCAGATACACTCTGTCCTTAAATCTGCAACTGTGACGCATCAGAGCTCAGCCGTCACATCTGAGTAATTCCAGTCAAGGGAGCGGAGTCCTCCCCAAAGAACATCAGCAACATGACCCACAATGTTACCTTCCTTGTACACACGGAAACCAAACTCATCGTAGTAGAAATCTGGTTGCTCTGCTGACTCTTCCTTCTAGAATCAGGATGAGACTGAAGTCAGTTGTCTGTACCCTAGCTGGAGGCCTCAGGTCTGAAAGATGCCACCCACAGGGTTGCCTGCTAAAATCCCACCCAGCCTTCAAGCTCAGATCAAAGGCTACTCTTCCAAAAGCCTTCTCTGGTTACCAATCTCCTCTGAACCTTCTAGCTTCCTTGTTCTTCTCAGAGGTCAAAGATAATAAAAATCAAGGCAAGAAACATGTTTTATGCATTTGTGTCCCTATAATACCGACAGCATACTACCACAGTGATTGACTCACACAGGCACATGGAGCTAAGATACCATCTCTGGTGGGGACCCCATAACCCTGTGTGAGTTGGCCACCTCTTCCTGGGCAGCCTGCAGAGCTGGGTCCCCTTCATACCGCAGTGTGGGAGCACAGCAGGCTGGTGCCTGGCTAACTGCTGTACCTGTGTATACTTGGCCAGGATCTCCTGGGGCCATATGCTCGGAGTCAGGGCTGAGAAAGGGCCACAGGCAGAAGGTGTATGGCTTCCTAAAACCAAAGAGGACCAGGAGAACAATCAAGAAAATGCAGAGGCAGGCCAGGCGCAGTGGCTTACGCCTGTAATCTCAGCACTTTGGGAGGCCGAGGTGGGTGGATCACCTGAGGTCAGGAGTTTGAGACCAGCCTAGCCAACATGGTGAAACCCATCTCTACTAAAAATACAAAATTAGCTGGGCATGGTGGCACATGCCTGTAATCCCAGCTACTTGGGAGGCTGAGGCAGGAGAACTGCTTGAACCCAGGAGGCAGAGGTTGCAGTGAGCAGGGATCATGCCATTGCGCTCCAGCCTGGGCAACAAGAGCGAAACTCTGTCTAAAAAAAAGGAAAAAAGAAAATGCAGAGGCAAAATTCAAGTCAGGAAATAATGCTCTCCCTGTAAGAACACCAGCATTAAAGGGACTAGCCCATCTCAAGCGTTATGGGGAGGGAAGGAGCAGAATGAAAGAAACCTCCTAGAGATCAGCAAATTTCTGGAGAAGAGGGGGAAGAAACAGCAGCACGTTACAAAACATGACCAAACTTCATCTTCCAGCCTCTTTCTCCACCTGAGGAGTGCAGATCTGCAGGCTGCAGGGCCGGAGGAGGAAAGCTGGAGAGCGGAGCTGAGAAGGAAGTTTTAATAACTTTCTCAGCCAGCCAGAAGCCTTCCCTACCATCTCCACCTCTCTTATCTGGATGGTGTTTTATGGAAAACAAATAAGCCAGCTTCCAACCCTCTGGCTCCTCTGTGAGAGCTTCACACCCCGTTTCCAAGTCCGGCCCCTGCTTCTACCTGACATTGTGCTGTGGGGCTGGCAAGTCTTCTGTAGCTCCAGGCTCGGAAGTCTCCTATCCTGCTATCTTAGAGCTGGAAGGTGCCTCAGGCTTCATCTGGTCTAGAATCATCTGCCCTGTTAGAAGAGTAAAGAGGAAAGTCATTCTATTTTTATTTATTTATTTTAGACAGAGTCTCGCTCGGTCACCCAGGCTGGAGTGCAGTAGTGTGATCTTGGCTCACTGCAACCTCTGCCTCCTGGGTTCAAGAGATTCTTCTGCTTCAGCCTCCCGAGTAGCTGAGACTACAGGGGTGCGCCACCACACCAGGTGATTTTTGTATTTTTAGTAGAGATGGGGTTTCACTACATTGGCCAGGCTGGTCTTGAACTCTTGACCTTGTGATCCCCCCACCTCGGCCTCCCAAAGTGTTGGGTTATAGGCATGAGCCACCACACCCAGCCTGAGGAAAGCCATTCTAAAACACCCTCTCTCCTACAAAGAGGAGCCCTTTCCACCCACACTCTGATTTTGCTAGCCTGGAGGCAGTGGGAACTGAAGTCTTAGCCATCGTTTAACAAGGGAAGGGAAAAAAAAAATCACTTTGCCCATTTTTATTTTTGTTTATTATTTTTTGAGACGGGTCTCGCTCTGTGGCCCAGGCTTGAGTGCAGTGGATCTTGGCTCACTGCAGCCTCCACCTCCTGGGCTCAAGCGATCCTCCCACATAGCTGAGACTACAGGCATGCACCACCATGCCTGGCTAATTGTTGTATTTTTTTGTAGAGATAGGTTTTCGCCATGTTGCCCAAGCTGGTCTCGAACTCCTGGGCTCAAGCAATCAATCTGCCTGCCCTGGCCTCCCAAAGTGCTGGGATTACAGGTGTGAGCCACCATTCCCAGCAGCTATTTGTCTTTTTTTCTTTTTTGAGACAGGGTCTCACCCAGGTTGCAGTGCAGGGGCACAATCACAGCTCACTGCAGCCTTGACCTCCTAAGCTCATGGGATCCTCCCACCTTAGCCTCCCAAGTATCTGGGACTGTAGGCACACGCCACCACGCCCGGCTAATTTTTGTATTTCTTGTGGAGATAGAGTTTCACCATGTTTCCCAGGCTGGTCTCAAACTCCTAAGCTCAACAGATCCACCTGCTTCAGCCTACCAAAGTGCTGGGTTTACGAGCATGAGCCACTGCACCCAGTCAAGCCTTTTACTTGTGACCACAGAATGAAAGGCTCTCACTATGAAAGGAAGTGGAGGTAACAATGAGGAGATGTGGCTGAAAGATTTCAAGACAAGTTACATTCCAGTTTTTGAAATCATATTTACCTAAACCTGGCACTGAAAAAAAATTTACTTTTGCCATTTTTCAGACGAGAGTTCAGAAATGACAGTTGTTAATCCTGGTCCATAGCAGAACCTATTCTCCATGCTATCTGCCATGGAATTCTGGTGTTGGGAATTCTAGTAAATCGCAAAGAATTAGGTAAGTGAGAAGCAAAAAAGAGGAAAATCAAACCATCACTTCAAAGGAGCTATGAGAAAATCCCAGTTCTCTTTAAAGACATACAAGTATGGGGACAAAAGTAGCTCCTGTGGGCAGCCCAGCTGTGGTCCCAGCCTCTGCTCCTGCCCCAGACAAACACTGGCCAAGTTTAGGATAAAGGGAAAAGCAGAACATTCCTGAACATTCCTGACCATTATAGAGGTTTGGTGCCCAGTGGGAGAGGCGCTCCCTCCTGCTTCCAGACACGCCGCTGAGAGCCAGATGGCAGAACCTGCTTCCCCAACAGGCCGGCCATCCTGGCTGGTTGGTTCTGTGTGAAGAGAATAGAATTTTAATGTCTTTCTTCAGTGTAAAATATATGTGATACAGGGTTTACCTCAGAACTATGAGCTGGATGGAGGATTACATATTTTTACATTAAAGAGACTGAGCTACAAGTTTTAAAAAGCATGTCATGTTATCATTATACCCTTACAACACATTTATTCCTTATACAAGAGAAAATAAGCCTAGAAGAGACTGATAGTTTCCAAATGGACTCCCAAAAACTCTGCCCCGCCACACCATGCAACCCCACCTTGTGAAATGATGGACACATGGCCACCAGCTAGATGGCCCTGGGAATGGAACCCAGTGCTCTATTATGCCTCCCGCTGGCTTGGAGCCTGAGATGGCATATGGCTGTGGCAGAACCACCACGTGTCCGCCTTGGGAGGCAGTGGGCTCAGCACTCATCCTCTGCACCATGATTAAAAATAAAGACATCTCAGCCGGACGTGGTGGCTCATGCCTGTAATCCCAGCACTTTGGGAGGCCGAGGTGAGTGGATCACCTGAGGTCGGGAGATTGAGAACATCCTCGCCAACATGGTGAAACCCTGTCTCTACTAAAAACACAAAAATTAGCTGGGCGTGGTGGCGTGTGCCTGTAATCCCTGCTACTTGGGAGGCTGAGGCAGGAGAATTGCTTGAACCTGGGAGGCAGAGGTTGCAGTGAGTCGAGACGGTACCACCACATTCCAGCCTGGGTGACAGAGACTCTGTCTCAAAAGAGAATTGGATGATAAACATAGAAATAGACTGTGATAACTACAGTGCTGTGAGGAAAAATAAAGCAAGGTCAAGATGTGGAGAGTCTCAGAAGAGAGGGGATTTATATCAAGTGGTCAGGAGCAGCCTTTAAGAATAAGGGTTAGGGACACCTGAGCAAAGACCAAAAGGAACTGAGGGCTCATGGCTACCTGAGGGAAAGGAGATCCAGGGGGAAGCACCAAGTTGGGAGCATACTGGGCACGTTAAAACAGCTGCAAGGCAGCCATCAGGCTGGAGGGGCTGGGAAATGAGGAGGAAACAGTGGGAGGAAACAGCCTGAACGGTGGGAGGAGATGCAGCAGGGGGCTACCAGGCCTCACAGTGTGGTGGAGATTCTGGGCTTCATGCTCAGTGAGCTGGGAAAGTAGGGGAGGGCTCTGAGCTCTCTCTGGCTGCCTTGCAGAGGAGGTGGTGGACATAGAGGAGGCTGCTGGATTAGTCAGGGTGAAAGGTATGTTGACTTTCCTGTGGTGGGAACACTGAGAAATGGTCACATTATGGATATATTTTATCTTATTTATTTTGTTAGAGACAAGGTCCCTCTATGTTGCCCGGCTGGTCTTGAATTCCTGAGCTTAAGTGATCCTCCTGCCTCGGCCTCCCAAAGTGCTGTGATTACAGGCGTGAGCCACCACACCCGGCCAGATTCTGGATAGAAAGAGTCTGCAGGGTTTAGCTCTTTAATGCCACACACACATATAAATGTATGTAATGTATATATAAACATGCCACTTCTCCCACTGGCTCCAGAACCCAGCCGGATGTGAACTGTGAAGCTGGGTGGGCAGGTTTTTCCTGCCTCTGGTCGCTATGGAAACCTTCCTGAAAGCAGCCATCTGGGAGTTGGCAGGAGCAGCCCAGAGAGTCAGCCACGTCAGGGTGGCTGCCCTCCTGTTGTCACAGGAGTACTGAGAGGCAGAAACTTGAAAAACAGGATTGATTTAGGTACCTTTGAGGAGCTCTGGAAGGAATTTTTCAAAATTAAATGTACATACTCCCTAGTTTAATAATCCTACAATTTCCTATAAGGCAAATTTTGTTTAGAAAGCACAGAAGGCCACATCTCACTGTAAACCCTGTTTTCCCACATCTGTGGGGAGGGGCAGAAAAGGTTCTGTTCATTTCCTGTGGTCTCTTCACATAGATCAGAGGGATATGGCCCCCCATTCTCTCTGCTCCTACTACCCTGTCCGGTGTCCTGTTTGCTTCACAACACAGCATGGTCGCTACCACTACACAGATGATTTTCTACAGACGTTTGCCACGGAACATGAAAGCTGTAAGCAACATAAGCAAAAATACTTCTAAGAGGCCTCTGAGACGCTGAAGACTGCATTTCCTCCGTGAGGAGGGAAGAGGACACTGGAAGCTGTCGATAAAAACTCACCTAGACAGAGAAGCACAAAGTCGGGAAAGTCCAAGAAAGGCTGGAGTAAAAAAAGATTAATGTGGCTACTATAGATGCTAAGAAAGGATAAAATCAGACAATAAATGCTCAAAGAAACATGAACATTTTTTGGAAAAGGAAAAAATATATGAATAGCTTTTTCAAGGTAAGGGTACAAAATAATTGGTTTTCTTCCTGGTTTTTCTCCTTGACTTCTATTCTTCAGCACACCTCTAAAATGTATGTGGGCTCCAATCTGGCCGCGACGTGGGCAGACAGCTTGTAGAAAGACAAGAGTGGATGCTGGGAGGCAAGAGTGGCGTGCAGGGGAAAGATTATGGAGAATGAGTCCAAAGTGACAGTGGAGACAAAGAGAAGTAATAGATTCAAGACACAATCAGAGGCAGAATCAACAGGCCTTGCCACACAGTTGGATGTGGGGAGAACGGGAGTGACCACAGGCAAGGCCTAGGTTTCCGGTCTGAACTCTGGGCTTCTGATGATGCCATTTCCTAATATGAGAGAAATGGGAACAAAACAGGTTTGGGGAGGGGGGAAGTTAAGAGTTATGGGGCAGGGGCTGGGCATAGTGGCTCACGCCTGTAATCCCAGCAGTGTGGGAGGCCGAGGTAGGCGGATCACCTGAGGTCAGGCGTTCGAGACCAACCTGGCCAACATGGTGAAACCCCGTCTCCACTAAAAATACAAAAATTAGCCAGGCATGGTCACAGGCACCTGTAATCCCAGCTACTTGGGAGGCTGAGGCAGGAAAATCGCTTCAGCCCGGGAGGTGGGGGTTGTAGTGAGCTGAGATTGTGCCACTGCACTCCAGCCTGGGTGACAGAGACCCTGTCTGAAAAAAAAAGAGTTACGGGGTAATTTAAATGCTCATTTAGAAATTCAAGTGGAGCTGTTAAGTAGGTGATTGCATCTATATATCTATGTTTACAGGGAGATGTCAGAGGTAGAAATGTAAATCTGGGAGTTTTTCATTCATCTATCCAACCAACAAAAAAATTTTTTTGCAACTACTGTGTACCAAACACTGTTCCATGTGTTAGAGATATAGCAGTAAAACAAGATGGACAAAGTTCCTGCTTTCACGAACCTGCAATTTCTTCATCTGTAAAATGGAAATAATACCTTACTACT